GTGCATGCCTTGAAAGCAATATAACGCCTTTGCTCGACATAGCGCCAATAATACTGACGTTGATGGATCGCAGTGCTGGGACAGTAACAGCTGCTGGAGTGCCTATCTTTGACCAAGCTGAAGGACGTGCGTATGCCTTCGAGAACCCACACTCGTCAATGAAGACACAATTTGTACTATAAGCGATTCCCTGGGTTTTTAGGTCAGTAACAAAGGCAGCTCGCTCGTCAAGGCCCCTGGTGGAATTACGGTCGGCAGGTATACTTTTAGTGCGCTTCAAGGAGTATTTGAGTCTTTCTGTAATATGCCGATATACAGCACTTTCACTAATAGTAAGATCTTCAATATAATTTTAGCGATGTAGACTATGCAACAAGTTTACTTATACATTCTGTTGATATTTTGCTAACAAACCTTTAAAAGTACTGTATAGTTTTTCATACACGTCCTTCACAGTTATAGTGGGACACTGGTCAATCTTGACTTTGATAAAAGCGGAATGTAGGCCGTTCAGCTTCTTGTTGTTTCCTCGTTCAACATCGGTTGCTGGTGGATATCCAGGGAGCACCTTTCTGTCGTTTGCTGCTTCCTTTATGATGTTGTATGCCGATGCTTGTACAATACCAGCCTTTGCAGCCGCTGTACGAACCGGATCACCTCGGTCGATATGGAGATTGACGAGTTGACCAACTTGGCGTGCGGAATATTTATAACGCGTCCATGTATAGTTGACCGGCTCTGAAGTCATGATGATATCGTCGTCGAGTGTTGGTGCTTCATCAATGTCCATGTTACCAGCTTCGCCTGCATCACCATCCTCAGGGACAACAGTCATCCTGTACACGGTACGAACACATGAATCTGCCTCAGTTTCTGGGCCGTCGCGCACGTAGTAATCACCATCTGGTTGATAGTGATACATGGTGATAGTAGACTGTGAATCAGTAGTGACGGTGGCAGGTTGTTCTTGTTGCATGTTGTGATCCTTAATATTAACGATAACGAGTTGTTTAGAAAAATAGATAGAAGTGAAGAGTTGTGTATGTTCAAATGAGAAACAGAGAGACTATATATATCAACTATAAAAAGTGCAAGGCACTTTGGCCAAAAACATAGCATTGGCCATGTAAATAAGCCAGTAATGTGTATAAATGGTATGCACCTACCAGTCACTTGCAGCAAAATTGAACTTCTATGTAGTAGTTCATCTGCAGTAATAGAATCACGTTCGTATCATTTCATGGTCACTATCTTAATTTGTTGCCACTAGTAACAATGAGAATAATTGGATAAATATATTTTGTTACAGTGCTATCAGAACACATACACACTCAATCTAAAAATACAACAGCGTATTTGATAGAGGGAAAATCATAAATAGTATATGGGTATTGATCACAATTATATACATGGGTGGCACAAGCAGCGTTGTGCTGCAAGTGCTACATGCACACAGACATGGTCGTTAAATATGAGTCTAAAAATTTCTGGAAGACTTTTACAACTATGGATAATAGAGATATGTACATCATAATAAATAAGATTAAGATGGAAGCCATAAAATATAAACAGATCATCAATCAAAGGGGGTGCTCAGATGGTATGAAAAAGGGGGTGATAGATTTGCTACATACACTGTCTATGCCATACTGTTTTTGTTACCTTAAGATTTTCATGATTTGATACACGCGTGCTATTGCATCTCGAAAACCATTTACGTACGATCGATATGCTCGTTGAGTAGATTCTATTTATTACTCTCTTGTCATCAGTATACCTTTCTTTTGGCAAATGTCAGTCACTAGTGGACTGTTCACTTCTCCTTTTTTGTATGTGTTCTTTCTGTGCCAGTTCGCTCTGTGCAACTGTAGGGTATTATGTAGTTTGCTTAGAATGCATTTGAACTATAATTTTATATGCCAGTACGTCCAATATGGCGATTTATTTCGATATGTGTATCTATTTAAGAAGATTATTCTTCTCTCTCTGTTCTGTTCATTTTTTTTGTTTCCCTTTTAGGTTAATTTCTCCGTGCAAAACGATAGTCCTGCTCCTGTAAAGGAGATTTGAATCGTTTGCATAATAGATTTTCTGCTAGTATACATATAATGGCGTGTTATAATCTTTGCATGGCGCACCATTTATGCATTATGTTTGTCGGATCAATGATCTCGTTTTATTAATTTATTCGCTCTGTACGAATGGTTCATACATCTGTTAGTTAAGTTCATTCTTTTCCTAAAATAGACTATCTGTACAGACTATCTGTTGCATTCGTTTTGATATATGTGCTCACTCGTTTAATATATTGGATCACGCATTCGTTCTGTTCATTTCGCTTTTTAATTATCTGCTAAACACTTTATTGCATTTGTTAGCTTCATTCTCTCCTTTTACTATTGCGTTTCATTAGCTATGTTTGCCCCCTATGTATGTTACATTTTGTAATGCTTGCTTGCCATGATCATTAAATTCGTTAGATTCGCTCGCCACATTCATATCATTCGCTAGATTTGCTTGCCACGTTCGTTTCATTTGTTAGATTTGCTTGCCACGTTCGTTTCATTTGATAGATTTGCTTGCCACGTTCGTTTCATTTGTTAGATTTGCTCGCCACGTTCGTTTCATTCGTTAGATTTGCTTGCCACGTTCGTTTCATTTGTTAGATTTGCTCTCCACGTTCGTTTCATTCGTTAGATTTGCTTGCCACGTTCGTTTCATTTGTTAGATTTGCTTGCCACGTTCGTTTCATTCGTTAGATTTGCTCGCCACGTTCGTTTCATTCGCTAGATTTGCTTGCCACGTTCGTTTCATTTGTTAGATTTGCTTGCCACGTTCGTTTCATTTGTTAGATTTGCTCTCCACGTTCGTTTCATTCGCTGGATTTGCTTGCCACGTTCGTTTCATTTGTTAGATTTGCTTGCCACGTTCGTTTCATTTGTTAGATTTGCTCTCCACGTTCGTTTCATTCGTTAGATTTGCTTGCCATGTTCGTTTCATTCGTTAGATTTGCTTGCCACGTTCGTTTCATTTGATAGATTTGCTTGCCACGTTCGTTTCATTTGTTAGATTTGCTCGCCACGTTCGTTTCATTCGTTAGATTTGCTTGCCACGTTCGTTTCATTTGTTAGATTTGCTCTCCACGTTCGTTTCATTCGTTAGATTTGCTTGCCACGTTCGTTTCATTTGTTAGATTTGCTTGCCACGTTCGTTTCATTTGTTAGATTTGCTTGCCACGTTCGTTTTATTTGTTTGATTTGCTTACTACGTTCGCTTTACTACTATTATGATGCTTGTTCCATCGATCATGTATGTTTCTATTATTATGGTTATTCGTTATATCTATTCATTCGTCGTGTTTTTTGCATTCATTCAAAGTTATGCTCGCTCATTCTATAGCTATTCTTACTCCATTTAGGCCCTTTTAGATTAGCTCAATGTTTTTTGGGCTGCATGGAGTTTTCTATACGATCTAGTTCCCTGATTTGTTTCGTAGCACACAACAGAGTACCACATGGAGCTTTGCTGCTGTAATTCGTTTTGACAGCATGTTATAATAACAGAAGACCATGGTTGCATGTATCTTTCCGACCTAATAGCTACTTTAAGCTCAATAATATTAAATTAGATAGTGCTCCAATACATTCGCTGCTGTATCATGGATAACAAAACTAACTTCATATTCGACTGATGCCAATACAGTAGCCACCATTCAAGGAGAACGTACATAACCAGAAAACTTCTTTATCGATCATAACAGATGGATCGACCATGCGACGAGTATTTACTGCATACAGTTTAATATAACATTTTTACATAACTACATACCTATTATATTTTTTTTGTTATACTATCTGCTATCCATTTTCCTTTTGACGAAATCATCGATCTCTCCTATGCACAGTATGAGGCGCAACCACACGTATCGTCGTACAGACAATGCCCTTGTAAGCTTCTCATTAGTAGTACAGAGTGTCCGTTAGCGCTGTTTCTGATGTCGCATCGTCAGCTCGCAATATATTAAGGAACCTCGCATTAAGGAATCTTGCTGTGTTTTATGCAATTTCGATATAAAAATCCGGCAAATTTGATCATTCAAGCCCGTTAAATGTTTTACATTATCCATATGCTTATTTCTTTATCGCTATATATCATCAACATAATCTTCGTCATTACCTACCGTCAAGTAACCAGTAAACGTATCATGGAACGCATATTGAACGACCCAACTATGCAGAGTATGATTGTAGCGCTACATATACTTTTGTTATTACTCTAATTAGCCAGGTGATATTAACTGCATTTATTAATAAGGATACCTAGAGCTCCGTGAGGAGTATATGTGGGACAACCCGGGTGTTCTCGATGATTGGGATGCCCGCCGAAGGTTCGACTACACAGGCCGCCTACCAGAAAGGCAACAAGCGCCCCTGGGTACTCCACACCGCCGTCGCAGGGTAATCTCTCTGGAAGAAAGGGGAACGATGATACATTTGTATCAGGCTGGGCACACAATGAAAAGCATAGCCGAATACATTAAAGTGTCTACAGCCACGGTGCATTGGACATGGCACAGACGGCACAGGTTCCTTTTGGAGCTTGAGCAGCAATATCGGCACCAACAACAACAAAATTTCCCAGAGCATGACAGCGATGCAGCTATTTCTGTTCGATTTCAAAATTTACATTTATCCAATCCGCGTAATTTTAGTTTTTAATAAATCTGCACTTAGTATCTGTGATGCCAAAACTTGTTTAATTCTTTTTTTGCATGGAATAATGTGCTTACTATAATCGTAGACTTTGTGACGTAAAACCGTGGTATCAAGCTGTACAGTAGAGCACGGACACTCTATCAATATGTAGATCTCAATGATAGATGCGCTATATGGGCACAATATTCATGATGTATACGCAAACACGTTTCCAGAACATATATAAACGCAGTAGATTTTATTGATTTACTAAGACAATCTTTCAACAGTATCCCATTCCATTAAACATGATCTCTACCACTTTCTACTACTACTACGAAGTCAGCAAAAACACCTATCTGCGCGAAACCAGTGCTACCACCTCGACCTCTGGTGACGATGCACAAAATATTGCTATTGATATTGACCGCACCAATGGCAATGGCCAAAACACCATGGCTGTTGACGACATCTCACGCAGCGATAATAGCGACGACTACGATTTAACGTTCGAACCTATTGCACCGGCTGACCACGTGTGGACGTTGATCAAGTATACTCCTCATCAGGTGGCAAAGATGATCGGTTTGGTGGAGTATAAGAAGCTGTCCGTGCGAAAAGCAGCCGAATTGACCAACATCAGTAATTCGCGCGCCCATCAGTTGTACAAGCAACACAAAGACGACAGCAGTGTGACTCCAGGTTATAAGGCCAAGAACCAGATAAAGAGACCGCGCAAGATCGACCTCACCGACGAACAAAGGCAAATCGTGGATTTCTACGTCAAAAGTGTAGCTGACCAAAATGCGAACGTCGTAAAAGTCAAGGATGCGCAGGATGATCTGTGCCAGCAACTAGAAGGTGAGCTATTTATTACAACATGCAACATGACTTGAATACTCGTTTTATCATACTAATACTACAAATTTAAAAGGTTTAAAAATTAGTCAAAAAACTGTCAAGGGAGCGAATCAG